TATATTAATGTATTTTAATAATATTTGGTAAAAATCAATTCCTTTTATAGTATAAGGATTTCTAATTGTATTTCAATAAGAAATCCTCCAGAAATGTTATCTAAACATCACTTCGTAATATGTCTTATAACTAAGAAGTTCATTTTTTTCTTTAGTTGAAAAGTCACATTGACCATAAGCAATGGCTATAAGAATTTGATATTCTATTATATATCTAAAGAGCTCATGATAGCGTCAAGTTTCTTAGCCGGGAATAATAGGGTAGAGATTGGATTTCACTTAAATGCGCTGGAAATCATTGATAATTGAAGTTCAGGATCGAGACGAAGATAAATTGTTCTGGGTTTGGGAAAAGCTCCGTGATAAACGTGTGTCGTGAATGGTCGATGACCAAATAAATAAGAATGTCCATTGATAAATACCACAGAGGAACAATCTATTTATATGTAGCCTTTTCATCAAACTTCTTTTTCAATTTATTTTTCTTATCTTTTGAGTCCTTATGGCAGAAATATAAACCTAATTTTAAATCTGACAACAATTTGTTTACTTAAAATTTACCGACTAATTAAATTTTATTAACTTATAAACAAATAATTGCTCTTTTAAAGTCTGTACTGAATAACTAGTTGTGCAATAATATGTTTTTATAATATGTTTACACAACTATTTAATATATTTAATATGACATAGTTAAAATTTTAAAATATTGACACTTTATGAAAATACTTGAAAGTAAAACAAAAATATATTTTTACTAACAGCCAAATTGTTCATGTAATTATTATCAATAAAAATAAAAATAAAAAAATTATAGAAATAATAATTAAAATACCGTTACATTACGTCCAAATATTAATAAAATAGTATAATTTAACACACCAGAACCTAATAATAAATATTTTTAAAATAAATATAATATTGATGAAAGTAAAAATGTATAATGAGAAGGGCTCGGAAGTTGTAGTACTAAAAATGTTACTTTTTAACTCTTAAATATGCACTTAAAAACTCTAAAATATACGCTATAAATAGCAAGAAAAATCAAAAAACATGCATTTATCTTGAAAAAAATGTAATTTTACAAATTGTTGGGCTCATTAGACACAGTCTGGACTAATTGAATTATAAATTGTTAACAAAAATATTAAATTACTTAAATATATTTGTAAAAATGTACTTATTATTAAATTATTTTATATATTTACCTTGGAAATTATCCTAAATTATTAAAATGTTTGATAATCTAATGCAATGATGTAATAAAGGAATAACAAGACGTCACTTACTATTAATACATCAAATTGTCGATGAAAACATAAAATAATATTTGATGACGTCTATTTATTTCCTATAATTAAAATATTTTTTAAAAACATAATCAAGGAAATACAATCATTATCAACAAAATGTGATTATTTCCTATATTATGTAAAAATATACCCGAAAATATAAACCCTAAATTAGCAAAATAGCAATAAAACCCGTAAATATGCAAAAAAAATAGCAAAATTTAATTTTGTGTATGATATCCGAGTAGTGTGAAACATATTTGTATCTTACTTTGGATGTTCTAAGATGAATCAAGAAAAATATGCATTTGCTAGAACTTCCGAGCTCTGATATGAGTATTAAGGTGACAAACAAAATATAATACAGTACTTAATTAATTCAGTAAATGTAGTCTCCACTATAAGAATATGGGATAATTTAACCCGTTTAAAGAAGTTCGTTTATATCAATCAAATTTCATAAAACCTGATTCCAAAGTGATGTGTAGAAAAAAGGGTTATCACCATTGGCCAAAAGCAAATATTTACGAAATTTTTTCTCCTTCAATCTAAATATATTTACATACAGCCCTAATCTCCGTATTCAAACTTAATTTATATTATCTTTTAAGATCTCATCGATTATAATGATACTAAAATAATTTAAAATAATCGTTTTATAATGTCACAGTTAATGTTATAGTTATATGAAAATAAAAATAAAATAAGTTAATAAATATTTAAAAAGTACAAAACATCATATTACAAAGCAATAAATAGCAAAGAACTGAGAACTTGGAAGATTTATTATTAAAGTAAAATATATAACTGTTCTAATAACTCAACATATAAATTTTAGAATTGTATAAAAAATGAACAACAACTAACAAAATATATACGGTTATTAAATTAAAAAAAACGTCTAATCTTTAGGATCGTTCTTTTATATAAATAACTATTTAGGTGATTACAAAGGTCTCACATAGTACTTAATATTAATAATTTAGATCTCAGGGTGTGTGTGTTCGTTTTCATATAAACTTGTATTATCTTAAATATTGCGTAAAATTAATTCGTCGCTACGAGTTATGAATAAAATACAATATATAATTTCTGAATCAGTTCTTATTATTTATAATCTGTCATCATTAGTTTATACTTATTCATGTTCTTATTATAATTTTAACTTGTTCCCAGAATTAGTTTCTTTTATCTTTTATCTAGTATCTTATCTTTTTATTAGCGTCCAAGGTTTGTAACAATATAAAGTAAAATAAGACTTTTCCCGCTCTACGATAGTATCCATCTTACAAATTTGCTTTGGTTATAATTTTTTCCCACTTCTATTCGTTTTATCTTTTACTAAATTCCTTCTTCCTCTACACACTTCATGAAAATGAAGTAACCTAACATATAATATCCATCACATCATTTTCAATTACTTCTCGGTTTTTCATTTTAATTCTACATTCCTTTTCAAACCTTCTTCCTAATTTATGTATAAAATATAAATTATACCTCGATACAAACATTCTTCTAATTTCCATTCTTCAACTGTCATCTCTTTCAAAAACTTTTTCAAACTTATTGCTGGCTTTCATTTTTAAAAGTAAAAAAATTAATTTTAAAAGATGTTATAACATAAATTCACATATATGTTCTTTTTATAAATTTTTAAAAAATGTAATGACAAAACGTCATATAACTATTAAATAATATATTTTATTAATATATTCCATGATTTTATATTGTTTTCCACCGCATAACGATCAATAAGCTTAATGAATTATCACAAATGTACATCCTATACTTCAATGCTATAAAATTATTTGTTTAATAATTTTTATTCAAAATATTTGTAAAAAAAATCGATAAAGACGAAATAAAATCAATCAACAAGATATAAATCAAAGCTGAACTGATTAATATAATCAAATATCAATAAAATAGTATTAAGAAAAAGTTTCAATGGCATTCTAAAATATAAGTAATACCAAATAAATAATGAGATTTAAAAAAAATTAAACTCAAACAAATTAAATGTATTTTGTAAACCATACATATTCACCGACACAATAGAAATTTAACGTTCCAATTGACTTTAGGTTTTATGTAAAAAAAGTGCTAGACATTTTACCAATTTTCTTTTTAAATAACGAGATATCAAAGATTTACAAAAAAAAAAAAAAACATTTCAATATAGAATTTTAGATTTTAGATTGCATTTAGCATCTAAATAAACATATAAAACAATTTATTAAATACTCGTATATATATTACTACTAGAAAAATATGAAAAATTAAATCAAAGGAAAATTGTTTTTATTATTACTCGTATTACGATTACTTAAACATTTATAATATACAAAATTCTATTATTACTTATTGTGGTTTTTAATAAAATTAAAGTTAAAAATTATGGTCATGGAGAAACTATACAAATAGTTTCCAGTTACCTCCAAAAACAAATAATCCTCATTGAAATATGGGTTGCGTTTACTGCGGATCAACATGCATATTTGAAAATACACATAATAAGATTGTTTCTCCCCTATTGGTTGAAATAAAGAATATATATGTCCCTCACAAACTTTATATAGTGTAAAAACCACGTAGTAAAAGAAAAGACATGCTCGTCGATATGAAAATGGATTTAAACGTTACTTCGTCGTAGATTTGGAGTAGGTACAACTGATATTTCCCTTGGGCTATGGGAATAGTATAATACATGCATAACAATCCTATTCTTCAACGACGAATGAGTCATTCAAGTTAAAATTATTTTTCTTTGGTACATACAATACTGAAAATTGGATATTATAACACAGATCCTTTATCAATTGTCATCTTATTCGTTTTTAACTCTTAGTTAAAAACTTAGTAAAGTTTATTAAAGTAAAAACTAAGTAACTTAATTAAAAATATACTCTTATATTCTTCATACTAAGAATTTATAATCAATTAATATTTAAATCTAAACAACTATGATTCAAAATAACAACTGATTTTTTTATATAACTATATAAACAAATTTTTATTTTGAATTATTATGTATATTTAAATTTCATGAATAAATACGAAAGATAAATTGGTAATATATGGACTAATTAAACGTATTAAAATAAACTTCTTGTGAAACATTATTATAACATTAGCATGTAATTAACAAATACCAATTATAACTTACAATTATTAACTTTGTACTAAATAAAACCACAATACTATATGGTCATCTAATACGATGTTTACGAACTAAAATCAAACACAAAATTAAATTTGATGACATATAATAACTTAGACCTTTTAGACACCATTTGCCTATTGTTCTTATTCAATCTATTGTTTCTCCCGAAACTTCTAATTACAATTCGAAAATATCTGGTCTTTGAGTTCTATATTCCATAAAGGTTTGTTCGGATAAAAGCTATAGTTTCCTCTAAGTTTTCCGTTCTCGGTAAAGGGCAGTATTATATAGGATATGGAAAAGGAAAGGAGTATTTAAAATGGCGCTCGGCCAATTTGTATTCTGGTCGTTTTACATTTACCCTCTCCTAAAAGCCTCTAATTGCAGGTCTTTTAAAAGATATTTTGACAAAATAAACTAAGCATAGATTTACCCAAAATTATCACATAGCAAGTGAACTCGTTTTATTCATATTATTTTAATTGTTACAGTTGTTTAATACCACTAAGTATAAAAATATCTACTGAACAAATATTATTATTTACCTTTGCATTGACATCTGTAGTGATTGAAATCAGCACTAACAACAAAACTGGCCACACTATGCGTATCATATTTCTTTAGCCGGTCTGTAAAAAGAATCAATCATAAGATCATATAGGTATTTATTATTAAAAAGTAACATATATCACATAATGTGTTCAGTTTTTTCAGTTGCAAATAAAACTATAGAAACACTATTCTATATAATAACAATTTTGAACACCACGATGAGTATATTATGCTATAGTCACTAATGTTTTTAAAAATACTTATAAGTTAGAAAAATCATTAATTATAAACTAATAATTCGTATTTTTAATCCTTGAACTTTTTAAAAAAATAATTTTTGAATATTTAGTATCTGTATAACTGCAAAATTGCATTTTTATAAAACAAGTAGTTATATAAGTGTTTTATAATAACTTACAGTTAAAAATTAATCATTTATTCCATAGTTATAGCTTAATCGTACTACCACCTGCAAAAACAATTGTTGTAAACTGTCAGTCGAAACTTAAAAATCACGTTAATTCTGTGTTTCATAATATATATATTGTGTGAAAAGCTAGTGAAAGTGTATTTTTACCCTTAAAATATACCCACCTATCTATTAACATATTTTAATTCTGCATACTGCACATTCCGTAGATCACCGGGATCAAATAATTTTGAAAAAGACCAAAACTAAAATACTTATGGTAATAGTGCAACATTGTCACAAGATAGTTAGGCCAACTTCACGAACATCGTTAAAGAATTTCGTAAACCATCTTACACGTTATATAAGAATGTTTTTACAATTGCATAAAAATAAAAAGTCCCTTGAACACGAATAAACTGACCCATTAATCAATATAAAATGAATAAATAAAAAAATGTTCCTTCGGTAACAGAATTTTAAAAAAAGTTTTCTCGTAAAATGTGAAACCAAAAACGACACCCTCCCATAAGACCAGCTACATTATTTCAAAGTCATAAAAACCATTACGTTTAGAAAAGCGACGAGGATACATTTATTCAAAACATCATCGATAAATTAGTCGTAAAAGTACTGTTGTCAAGGCACACATAATTAAAAGAAAATTTGCCGACAATGATTTAAAACTAATCCTAATTTATTTATTTTACACGTCTTATTAATTTATTCAAATTATTGATAAATTTAAATCAAGAATATATTTATTACTATTGAAAAATCAAATAAATAAAAATAATAATTTAAATGAAAAAACTCCAACACTGTATAATATGAAATACAGAAAGTTTAGAAAATATTTTCTGATTTAATTATTTGATATTTCATTAAAACTTATACATTTTTCAATACGCTACAACTAGATAATTCGATTATTTCCCAAAATGTTTTGATAAAATTACCAGAAAAAAATTAGTTTTCATAATATACTTTAGAATCACAATTTATTTTTGAAAAAAAAATTAATCGTATAACAATATGTTAATTTTAATAAAAAATAAAAAAATATCAAAGTTGGTTAGTTTTAGTTTTGGAAATAAATTAATTTTATGAAATAAAAATTAGTATGGTGGTTAGGTCAGTGTACTAACCTACTCTGTACTACGGGTTTTAAATGCATATACTTGATATTGTTTATTACTAAGTTGTACTTAGTATGTCTCATCATTTTTTGCTCATAAACTTTGAATGTCGAATGAACTTTTCATTTATAGATATATACAGTTTTAAAACCTGACAACAACCGGGTGACATTAATTATTATAATACGTAAAAAAATTCACAATATATACGTACATCGTATACAATAAAATGGCGTTTACGTTTTGATAAAACCAAATAACGTTCTATAAGCGTATACTTAAATTTAAAAGTAAAACACTAAACTCAGTTTTCATTGTCTTTCGAGAAGCCGTGAAAAAGCTGTAATATACGAAATATATACTACCTGCACTTTGAAAAAAAAATATCAATAGTAACCTTGGTGCTTTAGTACGCAAGTTGATTTTCGTTCGTTATATATCATGACAATTGAATCCTTTATAATGCTATAAATCGTTTAATTTCGTCTTAACCCTTAAAAAACCAACAGACAGATGGACTGATTGTTCGGGGTGCAGAACGCTGCTGTCATTCAATCTGAAAACCCTCTGACCTTTGGGGACTCTCGGCATCGGTGCTGCGTTTGACATTCGGCAAAATGCACTGCCGACGATACGGAATTTTGGCGGTCAGTGGGAGGGTCCGGTGGCACGGGATAAAAACGTTCCTTGTTGTTTTGGAGTCCTTTCTTCCCTTCTCCGCACTTTTTCCCTATCATCATAGCAACCTACATTTGCACTCACCCTCTTTTCCCTTATCGATAATCCTACCACTCTAACGTGTAAATATATTATTATACATCGTTCCGTTGCGATTCCCCCACGATCCTCCTCTTCAATAACAAACAACGACGTGCAATAATTTATTTATAGCTTTGCGACCACTGTCGTATACTGTGTAGTAGTGGTGAGTGTAGTATAGATATTACTGCACACAACCATATTATACCACTCAGTTCACGCAACACTGCAACTAACCTACACACATGTATCTACGGCCGTGAATGAATATATATATATGTATAAATATATCGGTTAAAAAAAACAAAATCAATATCAAAATGTTATATGTATTTTTTTCTTCTTTTTATTTCCCGACTTTCTTGGTTCATCCACCCGCCGGCACGCATTATCCTGCCACGACGAGCACGTATCACCCCGATAAACGCGTTCAAAGACACGAGCGGGGAAGCGACACACAAGGACAGTCTGTAAATAATGAATTGGACGGAGGAATTGTAAATCATTTTTGGTGCGAAAATCAGATAAATATCCTTCTCTGAAGTCAAAATCAATGTTATCACTATGCAAATACTGGAAGGAATAGAAGTAATGTGTATATAAATACAAACTGCGGTAAATATATTCGTTTAACATTTTATTTGTAATATTAGCCATATTTAATATCACAATTCTATTTAACCTGGTTCAGACGTATTATATTATCACAATAGTTTCACCTTTCAAATAATAAAATCATATAAAAATTAAATAATTACGGCTGAGAATTTTAATTAGATGTTTGAATTATTTTTCAATGATTAAATTGTAAGCTCTAAGTTTATTATTAGATTTAACATACTTTATTTCAGTTCTCTTCATTCAATTTTAAATACAAATTGTATCCCTTAACATAGTTAGCAAAAATATATTAAATGTAAACATGCGTATATACAATGTATATTATACATAGCTAAAATATATTAGATACTTAGAACGGTAATGGGTTGGATTATATTGAGAAATGTATTATAATAATTTTAATATTTTGATTAAAATCCACCAAATTCACAGCTATGATTAGATTTTATAAGGTTTTATGATAAACTCATAACTTTTGTAGTATGCCCTAGTATAACACAATAAAAATTAACAATAAATATATATATATATATATATATATATATATATATATATAGGTTAGGTTAGGTTATAAATATATAAATATATAAGCCATATGGCAATATTGAATTATTTAATATATCACAATATATAATTATTAATAATCGTTGAGAAAAACACATGTTCATACTACGCACGCGTCTATAACCACTTTCAATTTTCAATTAGTTAACTTTCACTCTTTTCTAAACAATAGCCTCTTATAGGTGTATAAACTAAATACTTTAAATGTAAAAAAACTTACACATATTTAAAGACGTGGAGACCCTCATTTCCTTTCGTTCGTTGGCTCTATGGCACAACGCGCATATTTGAAACGTAACTGTATCTTAATTATAATTTATTATCAACAAAAGTAAAACTATGATGTATAACATCAACAACTAAACTAGCTACACTCATTGATAGTGTACAAACTATACTTAGAAGCTAGTATACTGTAAGAAATATATTTGGATCACATTTATTTAAGGCGTCCATTGCTGTTGATGGAAATTGATCATCAATAGTAATATCACGATGTGTAGAATTATAAAAAAAATTGAGAAATAATATGTCTGGAGGGGCTGTGCCCCTAGGTTCCCCCTGAATCCGTCCCTGAGTGAAGTTGAGTGGATTTCGAGAAAATAGAAGTACAAAAGTTGATATATTTAAGATGTAAGATTATACATATAGTCTACTACATTTAATGAAAAAAATTAAAGCACTTAAAATGTTTTTTTTACTTAATGAACTAAAGTTTAACTTTTATACCTATTTAAAACATAGAGTATTGTCTTATCTAAATAATAAATCAATTCTTTTTGGTTTTTGAGTAAAGTCTTCCATTACTTTATAATGGAAAACAATTTGTTTTTGAAACAATTGTTTTTGAAACACTTCACTTGCACCAGAAATAAAAATAAAACGAACTATTAATAAGATCATACGTAAATAAACCAAGTGGTACTTTGATAAATGCGAAATCATTAAAACTAACAAATAGTGTATAAAGGAGGTTCCATCAACGACACTGAACGAATATCTTTTTATCTATGAACACACGTAACAAGCAGTTGTAAAACATTTTCCACTGTCAAAAGTGACGTCCGATGGCCACAACAATGCTGTGTTCGTTAAAAACATTGTTATCTTATTATCTCATACATTTTAAATTGTTTCATAATTATTAAAAGTAAAAAAAAATAAAAGATACTCAAATTTTTAGTCTCGATTATGATATAATAAAATTATTCATTTTTTTTAAGTGCAAGCAGTACTTACAGTGCTTAAATATACACTACGCCCCTATTAAACAATGAGATATCGTATTGAAATAAGTATAATATTTAGACTTTGATTTAATTAATTTAATTTCATAAAATAATTATTATAATACGCATAGATAATAATACGAGGACAGTCATATAATTAATTATATGATATAGCTCGTAATATAAGTACTTATCCCTAGTTTATATTTCAAGTTCTTATGGTTAATATTTTTAAACAACATAATGACTTATATCATTTAATTAAAATTCATATATATATATATATATATATATATATATTTGGTCAAACCTTTAAATTTTTTTAAGTATCTGATTTCATCATTAAGAGCATATAA